ACGCGGCCAGGGCGACGCAAGCAGTAGTCAGCTTGGAGGAGCGGGCCATGATCGAGAGAGTTGCTGCCTGGTGCACAGGGTATTTTCTCGACCTTGAGCTGAGTCTGGCACGAGCCGAAGCTTCACGTGAGCAAGCAGATCTGACTAGCATCCAGCGAACATGTCACCTGGTGTGGACACTGTGCGGCATATTCGCGGGCTTGCAGGAATGCCAACCCCGCAACTGCCCGCAAGATGTAACCTTGTGCTTAATGCCGCTCTCACTAGGCCACAGCGCAGTCACAGAGTGCATTGCAACCACTTTGATTGTTTGGAATACAGTCTTGGAGGGCTTGGCAAGCACGGGTTTCCCACCATGTGCAGCTATGTACTGATTCATGCAACAGGACACACACACACACACAAGAACACTCCAAAGGTGCGACCCAAACCATGGAATCAGCTCGAGGTCATGTTAGCAACATATTCATACTGTCCCGTTCGCAGAAGCACTCTTTTCCGACGCACTCGCTAACGATGTTCTCTCAGTGCCAAGCATGTTGCCCATGTATGCGAAAGAAGAGAAAAACTGGCTTGGACTCCACTGGCTTCTGTCGAAGGGATACTTGTCACATCTTGTTGCACTCAGTCGAGCTCGGAGGTCACCGTCGCGCTGATGACGCTGGAGACTGCGCTGAATGCGGCCAGCATGCCTCGAGCACAGCATCGCGAAAGCATGGCAGGTATCTCGAGTCAAACTGTCAGCACAACATGCAGAAAATTGAAGACAGGGTGCACAGGATACCAACTCCAAGCACCACGGATGGCATGCCCTCACCATCTGCTGCCATCGCTGCCGTGGGTGTCATCATCACTGCTGGCACTGCGGCACCTGCTGCGACTTCAAGAGGGGTGGTTCCACGGAGCTGCGCGGCTGGAGCAGGGCCACTGACGAAGGCAAGGCAGCGGAGGGCAACGCACGCGGCCAGGGCGACGCAAGCAGTAATCAGCTTGGAGGAGCGGGCCATGATCGAGAGAGTTGCTGCCTGGCGGGGAGGAGTGCTCGCTTCCGTGTCCTGTGAGCCAAATCCTGAAGGTCACAGCACGAGCTCCCCTGTTGTCACCTGCTTCACGGTTTACTCGTCGAGTGTTTGCGGGACAGCCGAGTGTTTTCTGTCCGGGTCAGAAGCTGGTGTCAAACGCTGCATGCCCGAATTGGGCAAGAGCCCGACTCATCTTATCCTGCGTGGTTTGGCACTCAGTAGGCTGGCCGTGCAAGGCATCCAACACGCACACACGCACACACACACAACTTGCAGAGACGATGGTTTTGCTTGCTCATCCTTTAGGTGACGTCCTTTCATGCATGAGCGGTTGCCGAGAGCTCTACCGCAAAAACAACATGCGGAACATGAGCGGCGTTGCCTGTCGCGGCCGGCGCTTGGCCTTGCAACGAACATCCCCATGTCGAAAGCACCAGGCTCGGCAAAGTCAGACATGTTTCGCATTTCAACTGGGAGCGTTTTGCGTTTTGCGTATGATGTTGCAGTGTTGTGGACGGCTTGTAGGCCGGCGGGCGACTCTGTCCTTCAATGTGTTCGGGTTCGGGCTCACTCGCGGGTTCATCATGTCGCAACTCGGGTAAAAATGTGGGCCTCTTCTTTTTGCTGGTCGGTCAATTGGGAGATGCACAAACCGTCGCGAGTTAGTGTGGCATTGTTTATCGGGGCGGTGTTTTATTGTCCATCCGTTGTCTCTTTGTCTGATCATAAATCCTACTCCTTCCATGGTATTGTGCCTAGTCTGCGTTCACGTCCTATTACTGCACGCTCCGGGTGCGGTCACGACCTTAGCGCACTTCTTTGCACATGCCAGTGCATTCGCCTCATTTGGGTCTGGCAGGGTCAATCGGTTCGGCGTTTTGGTTATCTCCGAGTCACGACTGTATGTGGGAGAAGCATTGTGGTCGCGATTCCTTCTAAATGCTTGAGCTCAGATGACAAAGCACTGCGGCAAGTATACTTGGGCAGCGGTGAAGCCCGTCAGTTCATGAGGAGCAATTGTGGGATGCTGCCTCATGAGGCGGCACAATGCTCTGTCATGCGTGTGGGATTGAGAAATCTATGCCGACTAAGAACAATATCGCAAGTCCAGGTGCAGCCACGTTGCCATGAATGAACGTATCTCGCAGCGCTAGTCGCATCTGACCCGAAAGACTTACTTTAAGCAGGCCTTCGGCTCTTGCTTTGCAACAGCCTCAGGATGCGCTGGCGATGCCTGCGGCACTGCTGGGGCATTGAATTGCCGCATCATGTAGTCTCGAGAAGTCGCAGGGCTCCTTTGGCTGATCCGCTGTCAGCACGTTTGGCGTCGCTGATTCTTCCCGATCCTGCATTTGAAAGACGTTTCATTGTGACCGTCGTCATCAGATCAGCTAGCCATGTCGAAGAAGGGAGCCGTAGAAATGGCGGTTGCAAGTTCAGGTTTACTGCCGGATGAGATGCTGTTGTTGAAGACCTGTGCCCGTCCTTGATGGCTGTGGGCAAGGACAGTGCGCCTGCTGCAGAACCCGAGGATTCGACCGCAGGTGCCAAGCCTTTGCAAAGACTCTGCGGAGCTTCAAGCTGAGGCATAGCCGGGGTGTTCTTCCTCCAACGAAAATTCAAGCGGCTGCTCCTTGATATATGCCAAGCGACCATCCGCTCTCATACTGGCATCCTCTGCGCAGCAGCACTAAGAAAAGTGATACGAGTACCTACAGCAACACGGTTCAAGCAACAACTTGTCTAGGGTATTTGCATGAAACACAGGAAATACTCGCATCTGGCTAGACCTCTCCAGCCCCCGCAGGTAAGCATGTCGCAGCACTTTTGGCCTCAGCGTGACAAGCCATGCTGCTCTGGATCTTCAGGGGATGAACCATGCCAGTGCTACATGTACAGGCCGTCCCAACCACTTGGCCAGGAACCTTCGCTTTGGCTTGTTTAAGCCTCTTCGCAGCCTTTGCTGCATTTCTGGCCTGCAGCAGTGTCGACACCAAGACCCAGTGGTGTAGGCTACGTCTGGGCTACGTGTGCATGCGCGCGTGTGCGTCAAAGGGCGTGCTTGAGCTCTGGAAGTGAGGTTGGTTTGGGGAACATGGCTCCTTGTGCCATGCATTTTGCGTACATGCATTCAGACACCGGGCCGAACGCCAAGGCATACCTGTTCTTCCGGCACAATGTGGTTGTCCATGTAACTAAGAAGGAGCGGCTTTGCTGTGAGGTAATGGCATTGCCGCTATGATCTGCTGAAGTATCTGGGTGTATTCCATCTGGGCCGTTAATTGCGATCACCCTTCTTCGGGTTCGCACCTGCTGTTTTGATAGAACGCATGGTGGACCTGAAGCTGCTACTGCTACTACTACTACTACTACTACTACTACTACGATGACGACGATCTGTGCATCTGCCAGATCTCTTTGGGGATGTTTGGGAAAGCACACCTGACAGTTGTTGAGTTGTTTCGATCTCCGCTTGAAACACTCCACACTGCAGTTTAGGTCGTCGCGCAAGGATGCACAAGGTTTAGGATAGCATCTGTTGGCAACAACGGACGGGCTCCACCCGTGGATGAAATGCAAAGGGTATGACCCCACTAAGTTTGGCAGGTCGTGGCATGATTTTTGGAGCCATCAATCTCCAGGTAAAAATGCGACAAGCCCAGCCACTCGTGCCATCATGACCTCAACTACGGGTACATTTGCGTTCGCCCCTTTTTGCATGGTTTCGCTGAAACGTGTTACTTTCAAGGACAATGCGAGCAAACGAGCAGAAATACCCAGGGAGCACAGTGAGCACAGCACATCCAAACCGAGCAAGGTCACAGAGTTTTCAGGACTTGGCAAAAGTCGAACTTCTATGCGTAGTTTTTGCCATGATGTTCTTTTCGAGCAAGAATCAAGAAAGGACAAAGAGTCAGCACTGCCTGCCTCTTCGTTGACTGCGGCCTGTTTCTTCTCGGCCAATGTCTTTGCAGCTGGTCGTGCAGCCACCTGCTACGAGACCCTGCTTCAGTATGCCAAAGTGTGGTTTAGGGTCTCGGGCTCTCTCGGGCTCTCTCGTGGTGTCGATCCATGTTACAGCCCGCCAGATCCAAGCCTAGTCGCTCCTCCGGTTCATCCACTTCCCGAGGACGAACAACTTTCGTGTTGTCAGCTTCAGCCGTCTCAAGGCTCTCAGCTTTTCGGTGGCAGTATGTGGCAGTGCGGGGAGTTGGGGGCGTAGTCTTAAGTTTGAGTCGAATGCCATCGGAAATCTGCGATGTTGATGGATGAGTTTCGGGAAGGATCTGTGGTGGGACGCTCCGGACTTGCAAACTTCTCCAGTTCAGCCTGCGGCCGCTGAGGCCGACAAGGCAGGAGCAGGCACCGCCGCCATTTGCACCAGCGGCAAATGTAGTGAAGCCACCTACGTATGCAGCCGGCGTTCTCTGAACAAAGTCTACTCAGAACAAGCTATCGCGTCAGGCATGAAACCTAATGACACAGCATTAGGAACAAATGATTGGATCCTCATATGCACGCTGAGCTGGGCTCGCAGTCTCTAAACTGTGCATACGGATAACGTTCATGTGTGCACAACTTCTCTGCACTCCCTTCATGCTGGCTTGCACGACAGTGTGGTGAATCTGTAGGGATGGGCAGATGTTGTGGCCAGCACGAGGCCTCCTCAAGATCCGCGGCCTCTTCGGATGGCGAGTGGATGCTTCGAAGCCTGTAGCCTCACAAGAGCCGCCGCCACAAAATCTTTAACTTGGTTTGCAACGAAGCTCAGAAGGGTGAACCCCTAGTGAATGGCACGTGCTCCATTTCTGGCCGGGCGACATGTCTCATCCTTCGCGAAGACGTGGGCAGCGAGCATTTCTGGTGCACTGCCTCTCCTTGCTTGTCTGTTTCCGAGTATGAAGACTTCCGAGTTGAAATAGAAGTCCTGCTGTCAATTGTCTCCAATTGTCTCCAATTTCACGTAAAGCTGAGTGAACGAACACTCGGAAAAAGCGCCTGGATTTCGTGATCCTGCTATCCTTCCGCTTCCTTTTCGTCGGCTTCACCGATACATGGCAATTATATCCTGCAGCTCTTTGTATGAGTCAGCATGAGGACATTTACCTCTTGTGAAACCGTCCTGCCTGGAACATACACCTGGGAACAGCGTGGGCACATGAGCTGCTCCACACTGGAGGCATGGAGGTTCACTTTCGCAGCAGAAGCGAACACACGCATCCTGTCGTAGCTGCTTGGCGTTACACCGCATTTCTGCGACAAGTAATTGCCTTCTCGCCAAAGCTCTGGAAACTGCTGGAGCAAGCAGGCTGTACCTCGGAAGAGAGCAAAGCAGCAAAGCGGAGTCAGAGTCGGATCAAGCAGTTTCTCAGGGCACTGTGTGGCTGCCTCGAACAAGAAGTTGATGGTGCGGTCTTCGAGTTCCATGCGGTCCAACATTGCGTTCTGAGCTTTGCAGCCACTACTGCTAGCTTCCCAATCTTGACTTGGGGCAAACTCGTGACCAGTCTGTGGGCAAAGGTTCACGGCTGGGCCGAGAATCAAGATGACCAGCAAAGCAAGGGCCAAACTCAGCAGGGAGGGCGGTCAATCAATCCGTTTTCAATCACTGCCTGACACTTCACTGCATCTGACAACACATGCAATCTTGGCGTACACCAGCACATCATGCGTTCCAGATCTTGCTCACGCCTTTTACAGACGCATACTTCTTGGCTCCTGCACCGCCCCATCGGTATCGAAGCTTTTGGGGAAGGCAGGTGTCAGATGGTACAGCTTCCGCTGCAAGGAGTTGAACCTGCCACGATTGGGACTTCGTCAATCATGCGCTTCGGGTGAGTTTCTGGTTGCAGTCGGGAGGCGTGTAGATGCCTTGCTGCTGTTCCAGAGCAGGCCGGTCGTACAGCGGTGGATATCGCATTGCATCCTGCGAAACCGGCTGAATTCCGAGTGGACTTAAGCTGACACTCACACGGCGAACTGCAGCGATCTTTTGCCATTCTGTTCAGGATAGCCACACTAACTGTTTACCGCGCAAAGCAGAACAGATAAGGCCCCCACTCCTGATTATGAACAGGCTCCTGCTTGAGTGCAGTGCTCACCAGAATGCGACAAGGAAGTTGGAAGAGGATGCCTTATCCGACCCAACGGGATCCGGCTAGCAGCTGCAGGGATAGGAATTCTGATTCCCTGCTCGCTGGCCGCGTCACCAGACCGGCCGTGCAACCGCGGTCTCAGACGGCGCCCACCCCAAGCTTCCGGCTCTGACACCGTCGATTGCATGGCCATCCCCAGGACCTCAGCAACCCGCCTTCGCCAAGCGAGCTCTCTT